ATCTTGAATTGATCATAACTATAAGACAATTTTTAGTAGACCTTTAGAACCGGCAAAATTTATGATTTTTGACAAGTATTGCTTCACTGGCTTGATGGCAGAATTAAAATTGCATACAAAGATGGATATATTCTTAACCGTTTATTCATCAATTCACGAGTTTATTTAGAACCAACATCATGACCAGCTCCTAGTTGGCTTATTAGCTCAGTTGGTAGAGCGCTGCACCGGTATCGCAGAGGTCATGGGTTCAAATCCCGTACCGGCCTGAATTTTTTTCAGGCCTTATTTTCACTACTGCCTAAGTAGTGCACATTACTGCGAGGATCACTTTCATTCACGTCTTTATCCGCAGTTCAAATATATGACTTTCATATATTCTTAACCGTTTAAAGATGGATAGGTTTTTTAATTGATTCGACTTCTCGATTTGGGTATATTTACTTTAATCTAACTGTAATTCAGGCTTGCAACGGTTTTGTTTGACTAAACTATGTGATTGGCATAAAAAATTCGCTCCATCCTCTCCACCATAGAGCTGTGCTCTTATCTATGCCTTCCTTAGGGTGGGAGAGGAGCAGTCTGTGCTAAGGTAGTTTTTTTTCTTGTTGTCTTTGCTTTTTTTAGCGACTAATAGCTAACTACTAAAAATAGGAATTAGACCGGACGGAAAATGCACCCTCTGTGCTAAAGTAAGTGTAAGACACCAGTGATTTTCAGCTGTTCTCTGAGATGTCATGGATGGTTTAGAGGGAGACCTATGTAGATCAATTAACGTCTACAAAGCAAAACACTAGAACAGCGAAAACAGCGAGTTTTAAAACCCAGGGAAAGTCAGTTAGAAATAAGCTGAGAAGACGTCGCGTGAGGTTAACGAATTGCAGGAGTCACCTTCGCCCTTCAACACAATTCAAAATGATTATGACCTCGAAGGCTTGGCCTCGATCGAGCATTTTTCATAAGATACCAAAAACATCTGGGATCAGATTTAAAAAGATCCAGTTTTATTGAGACATTCTTTTTCCCTTTTTATGCACGCTTCAATAAAGAATTTTTTTCTTTTTTAGCACCTGTTATATATGTGGTTAGAGAACCTTCTAACAAAATCTATTAAAAATTCACATACGAACTCAATGTCATCAGTCAGTCATGCCAGAAATGCCACATTCGAGAATCTTCCTTGATGGAACACTTTATTTTTGGATATTTCGAAATAGTGTGAGAAAATTCCTTTATTAAACATAAATCCTATGTGTCACTGGTGTGTTCTTTCGTAATCTTTACAAACACTTAGGCCAGAGGAGTCAACCTGACTAATTTTTTTCACGGTCTCTGCACAATATTCATTGTTAAGTTCTTTTGATTGTTTTTTTCTTTCGTTGTTAGTCCTTTCCGGCGAAAGAAAATACAAGACAGTTCAAAAGCAACAAAATTAAAATGCACTTAAATGACAGTGATTTGCAAGGCCACCAATCATCCTGCGTTTCCTTGACGAAGTTTTCAAACAAAATTATTGTCACAAAGACTTACCAATGTTGAAACCGTATTTGATTGGAACCAAACTGAGTGATCCAGCAGAGTACTGAAATAATTATCTTTCCCTAAATTTTCCGCATTTTTGGTTAGTGGCAAACAGTAACCCTGTGGGGTTTAGTTATTTCAAAGATTCCATGCAAAAGATTTGGGCTTCTCTTGGTCTCATAGTTAAATACATACTAATTTTTCGTGACATTTTCGTCCCGCTCTGTGCTTTTGTTCTTTTTTTAAACAGCTTCAGTCTGATCACCAGGACAATTAAAACGGACATGCCTTTCCATATTTTGAGTTATTCTTTAAAAATTCACAGTACATTAGAACTCATAGTCATCACTAAATCCAGCCAAAATTGGGTAGATCTTCAAAGATACTTGTCGTTCCAATCTTTCCTATGGATATTTTGGAGAGGAATTAGAACATTCCTTCATTAAACATCCACTCGATGTGTTGCTATTGTGTTCTTACGTATTATTTACAAACACTCTAGTCACAGGAGTCAAGATGACTCATGGTTTTCTGTCTTTGAACAAAGTTCATTGTTCAGTACTTTTTCATTTGTTATTGTTTCTCTTTTTTCCGCTTTTGGCGAAAGGCAAAGAAAGTGCAGCTGGTAACGCTTATCTGCATTTGATTTCCTCAACGAAGTTTTTACACAGACGTATTGTCACCAACGAGTAACCGAGTGAAAAGGACAAATTCACTGGGCGGGACGTAAATATCACAAAATACATTAAGGACGTTAACAGGAGACAAAAAGGGAGGCACTAATCCTTCGCATTAAAACAGCAAAAAAAGTACGCCTCCAGAGGCTTACTGTTTACCAATTAGCGACAAAGTGAAAAATTATCTAGCCCGTAGAAAAAATGTTGAGCATCTCTGTTGGATATTGTTTGATTTGAATCTCTATAGTCAGGCTATCAACATTGATTGCTCTTTGATCGATGTTTGTTTTTTTCCCCCGGCGAAAGCGGAAAAAATAAACAAATCAACTCGAAACATTTTTTATTTACACAGCTGCAGTAGAAGTAGGTTGAAACTAAAAACAAAAATAAGAGTAAAGTTAACTAAGAAAAACAAACTACAAACAAATAATGACTACAAACGAAACGAAACGAAACGAAAAAATACTTACACTGATGATAAGAGAAAAAAAGGTAATAAGATAAAACTGCAATAACAAATCACTTAAAGACTTCTAAAAAAGAGAACTGCGCCAAGTGCGACTTTAAGAAACTAACTTAAAAAAGTGATTACGCGTGAGAGAAACTTGCTTTAAATACAAGGACTGCGAAATAACGCGCCGTATGTGAAAAGTGCAAAAAAAGTGTAACTAACGAAGAAAAACGCCAACAAAGTTAACAATAAACACGAACGAGGGGGTATGACATGTAAAGAACAAAATAAATAGATACGGAAAAATAATTAGAAAGCACTTAGAGCTTACGGTTATAGTAATAAGAAAATCATAAAAGTGAATTAAAAAGAGAGAGATAAATCTGTTTGTTTTTGCTATTGGTTTAAAATGAGATACTCTTCCCTTATATAAATGGCCTTTTTATAGCTTTATTTGAAAACTTTAGTTGGCAGAATCCAAAATCGTGAAAGACTTTGCAGAGTATAAGTCATCACAAGCATCACAAATGTGGCGAGTGTCTCACCAATTTAGTGCTCAAGCAGTACGGTCCATCAAAACATTTCTAAATAATAACAACCTCCATGCATTACAATCACGGTATCTGTCGAGGATTTTCCATGGGAGAGTAGAAAGGTCCGAGCAACAGGAAAAAACTGCAGTTTATTTTGTATGCTTCAACAGTTCAATGAACGGAGCTTTTTATCTTTAAAAGTACGTCATAGACGTGGGCAGGATTTTAAAAACACAATGTTGAAAATTTTATTTTAGAACTCATTGTCATCGGTTAATCCAGCTAAACGTAGGAATCCTTCAAAAATGCTACCTTAAAGAAAAATATTTCTATGAATAGTCAGAGATATGGGTAGTATATGAACATTCCCTCATGTAAAATCCACTTAGTGTGTTACTAGTAAATTCCTTTGTATTCTTTACAACATTTTAGCTACAGGGGTAAGCCTTTTGTTTATTTTTTTTTTGTTTTTGGCTCTATTTTTTCCGCTTTCGTAGACGGAAAAACAAAAGCAGAAACTTCATCTCGTAACCGATACAAGAGTAGCAATCATTTTGAAACAAGTATTTGTAACCAGAGAATAACCCATGTTAAACATCAGAAATTAAACCATGCAATTTTTAACGGAGTAGCTTAATAACAAACTCTTGAGGCTTATCAATTTTCCGCGTCGTCGGTGAGTGGCAAACAGTAGGCCTTAGGGGGTTAATTTTTTCGCTGATTCATTAGGAAGGATTCTGGGCTGTTCTTATAACCTCTCTACACCTGAAATATATTTTTGTGATATTTTCGTCCTGCTCTGTGCCTTGGTCCTTTTTTTTAGGACCGAGGCTACTTCTTTCTGTCTTTTTCGTTTGTTTGTTTTTCTTAATAAAAAGGTTTACCACACGTCGGCTTTCTACCCAGTGAAGCTTTCGATTTTAACACACCATAAACAAATTTGCCGCTAGAAATATTTCCTGATGTATGCGCCAAGTCTCCAGAAAAATGAAAAAAAAAACTGGAAATCGACAATTTGCCGTTTTATTTGTAATGGTAATCCAATTATAAATAGAATAAAAAAATTGACTTTACGTAAGGCGGAAAAATAAAAAACATAGTTACCATTTCTAATTACGATCCTTTGTTACACTAAATCGAAACGTGGCAAATCTTAGAGCGACACATCTAAGACGTAAATGACACTGCAAAGTTGAGTGATTTATTTCGAAATATTTTAAGGGTTGTGTGCATCGTTTCTTCCAAGGATTAAAACTTACCATAGGCTTATAAAGAGATGACGAAATAAACAACCATCGGTCGTTATTTGCATTGTTTATTTTGTATCTTCGTTTATTCAACTCAGGCCTCCGAAAAACACTTGGGATCTAGAATACGCGCGTACATGTTGCGCTCTCGTTTGCAATATTTAGCACGTATTATCATTGATCCTTCGATTGAGAAAAATAAAACAGTTTCGAATTATTTGACAAGAGAAAGCCGGGAAGAGAATCACTAACGACAAATCTATTAACACCCAGTCTGAGAGTGGTCTTTGGTAGAGTAACTCTGACGATCGTACATGTCAGAATATAATTAATTGCTCGAAACATTTTACAAACACACTTAATATGAATAAAGGCATTTTCTCTGTCTCTTCTTTTATAAATCACAGGAAACAACAAAGTTACTGGTTTAAATTCCCTCCTTTAATGCACTCGATCCGTGTATAAGTTTACAACCTTTGTATACCTGTACCATTATTTTATTTCAATAGCGTTTTCTGATCTTAAAGATGTCATCGTGTCCTTTTCGTCTTTCATTTAGGCAAAAGCAGACATGGCAACGTTTTATACATTACAACAAAAGTCCTTCCACGTCAACAAGGAGGAAGGTTATGCGTGGTGCACGCTGTTCTTCGTTGAGGCAGCTATTGTCATCGCCCTTAACATGTTCGCTATTATCATTTTCAGTACTGACCGCCGAGTCCGTAAGCATAGTACATATCTACTCATCAACCTATCAGCAGCTGATGTAAGTGTTGGCGCACTTGTGATACCAGCATCTGTCCTCCTTCGTGGAAATACGTATGACCTTTGGAATGTGAAAATAAATCCTATTGGGTTAATTTCTGCATATGGAGTGAACTTGCTGTTTTGTGGTAGCTCGCTCGGATTTTTGGCCTCAATATCCGTAGAGAGACTGCACGCTACGAGAAATCCAATGGGGCATTGGTCCATGTCTGGATTGTTTTATAAAATTTGGGGCGCAAGCATTTGGGTCGCGTCGCTTATCTTTACTTTGTTTACAATTTTTTTCATGTATTATGATCTATTAGGAACAAAAATTTGGTTCTTCGCGGCGTCAGGTGTCTTCTGTTTGCTTTTGATTCTGTGTTGTAGCTATTGCGGAATCTTTGCAACAATTCGATGTGGTGAGCAACCTCGTCATGATCACCGCGGACAAGCCAGAAAAGAACGAAAACTTACCATAACACTCTTCATTGTCACATTAGTCTCTCTCTGCGTGTGGACTCCGTATGTATTTTTCACTTTCTTGGAGGAACAAATGACTCGCATATTATCTGACGAAGCCCTATTGCGCTTAAGATGCATTTGTGAGTTGCTGTTCTTTGCCAACTCGTTTGTGAATCCAATCTTGTATACCATCAGAATACCAGAGTTTAGGAGAGCGGGTATTAAACTTATAACCTGCATCAAAGACTCTCCAAGTAGACAACAGTCACAATCGACGTGAAGATTCCAGCTGGATGACTGTGAGGAAAAATGAATTGGCTTTGGACAAATGTATTATGCAGCAATAAATGAACTTTTAAAGGTTGTTGGCATTTCGTTCTATATGACCGCAAAATTTATCTCCTAGATGCCACGAAGAGCCGTCCAGCTTCCATTTCCTTTAAAGCAAAGGTTCACCCACCCACAGCTCCCTTTCCCCTCATGATCGATATTTAAGTCCCTTCCCGTCGCAAGTATCAGGTCTGTTGTTTCTATCTAATTGAAAGACTGTGGAAAATTTTGAGAGAAGAGTTCATTCAGACGACGATTCGTTTTCACCAGTAATTAGCCGTGCGGTCAACCACTTATTCTTTAAACACCTCTTTCAAATCAAGGTCGCGGTCCGCACTAAGAGTTATACGGAACGAGTGTTTTTCCCTTCGATTTATGAGCAAGTTCGAGTGTTACGGGTAATAAATTACCGGAAGAAAAGTAACGACCAAGAAGAGCAGGGTTTTAAGATATCCCATCTTACATGAATCTGTCGAGTCTCGTCAAACAGAAACCGGAAGGTTTTAAGTGACTGACCCACACATGAAAAGCAAAAAGAGTCAATTTAAAAACGTTTTTTAGTTACAATCGAGTTTTTAAAACACATTTTTAGGTAAAGCAAAATTGTCATATTTATAGAAGAAATTGGCAATAACTCAATTGAAAGCCTGGCGATAGAGGCAGGCTTAGATTTTAAGGGCAGGTTTAGATTTTCCGGCTTGCTGACCAATCACAGTGCGTATAGTAGCAGTAGCTATGATAATAGCTGTTATTTAACAATGAAATTCTTTTTAAATCCTCAGCCAATCAAATCACATCAAGAGTAAGAGGGTATCTTTAAAAAGAATTCGCAACCACCATTCAATCATTCATTGCCTTGTTACTGAACTTGTTGCTCGACATCAAGGAAGGTAAGTGACAGAGTTTCATATGAGCTCTAGCGTCAGTTATTTGCTTGAACTTCAAAGAATGTTCAAATCAATTACTAAGATATCTTTAAATGCCCTCTGCATCAATTATTTCAAACGTATTATGCAAAAATCGCCAGCAATAATAATGCATTACATGAACATTTAAAAACCAACAACTGCTATTCCATGGTGTTAGCTAATTTTATAAATTCCGAAGGTTGTATGTAGGAAAAGGAGCAACGTACCTCTCAAAAATCTTGACTTGTTTTATGCGCTATACTGACCTTCGTCATTAAAATTTATGGGACCTTTAAAAAGCAGATTTCTGTTATAACAACACCAAACAGGAAAATGAAAATCTAAAATTGAAAGAGAATAGTCAGAGATGGAGAAGGGTAGGACACATTTTAAAGGACCACATCCAAATGTTTAAGTTAAATTTTTTTTACGATGATACTATGCCTTATAGCTTCATCAAATCATTGACCGGTGTACTCCCTCATGGATCCCGGAGTTGAAGATTCCGATGGCATTCAAATTCAACTCCCCGTGAAATAATTGTTATTTTAATGCGCTAGGAACAAGTAAGTGAATAGTGACACATGAGAATTTTAGATGTATATGGAGTTTGGACACCCCCCGCCTGGAGGAATAAATGTTTTCAAAGTTTCTCAGCTAGGCTTCCGCTCATGAATATCACAGTGTATTTGTTTTGACTACTTTGCATTTTTTCCTGTTTGGTATCTTTAGGCACAAACCATGATCACTGCCAGAAATTTCTATCATAAAAAGAAATAACAATTTTGACCATCAATAGCCTGGTTAAATCAGATATTTACGACTGTACTTAAAACAGTGGTTGTTCAAAATCAGCCGAACAAAGTTTAATTTCTTCAAAAGATTGATGAGTGTACGTTGAACTTAAGATGTTGTATTGTGCCGACTGAGTTGACACTTGATTTACGTAAATTAAACAAAAATTTTCATTCTCCCTCTTTGGAAAACAGAAGGGAAGGAAATTTTTTAAAACTGAGCTCCTAATGTTGCAGATTGTACAGATTGTTACGTGAGCCACATGAAACCAGCTAAGAATAGGAACAAGACATTGTTAAGTTAATTTACAACTATTGGAAGGGTTATGCGTAAATAAAATGATCTTAACATTTTTACCAAAAAAATCGCAATTATCAGTCTTGCTCGCCCAGGTCTTTTACGTCACTAGAAAAAATCCAACTGCCAGCCAATACAGAGCGTGCTTTCAAGCTTTAACTGTGTCTCTATACAACCACTTCAATCACAGAGAGGGTATCAGAGTGAGTGGGCTTTTATTGCGCTCTATCCATGTACTCAGAGTTTACTTTGGCTCTCTAAAGACATCCTGTGTAAAATATTCTGTTTCATTACTAATCGCCGTCAATGTCCTAAAGCGCATGTGTGATGCACAAATGAAGGTCGCCTGAAGGTTACCAGAACTAATTGAAAAGCACTTGGACACTGAATGAAAAGGGTGACATTTTACACAAGCTTTTCAAATGCGTTTCAGGTGTCTTTCACGCGCATATGAAATTTGCAAATTGGATTAGAATAATTAGCATGGGCCTAAGATAAACTTCACGCGTGTTTTAAAGATAATTCGTTCTCACGAATTATGAATGACGAGGGCAATTTTTTGAAATTTGAATATACCTGTTATTTAAAAGCATCCGTCATGAGCTCACCTACAGAACTCCAAAAAGTGTTATAAACTCAGCAGGTATACCGTCATTCCCAGGACTCTTTCCTTTATCAAAAGTATCCAGTGCTTCAGCATATCCTTCAATAGTTGTACGTCCTCAGATAATTTTGCAATGCTAACCTTGACCAAGAAAGTGTTCCAACATATCAGGCTGCATCGTATTAACACGGAATCGTCCACGCTATCTGGTATTCTACTGTTTATGGATGATGACGAAATATAATATTTTGAAGAAGACAAGTCAAATATTTTTTTTCAAAGTTTGTAGAAATAATTCCACTTAGACGGAGTTTCCTGTGGCATTTCTATTCTCCAAACTTAAAAGAATACTTTGTACTCTTTTCTCCATATTTTTGCCATCTCGCTCTCGAACACACAATTATTTCATTGCTTTCTCGTCGACAACTTTTTCAAACTTAAGTTAACCCTCTTCAGAATATTTTCAAATTCTTCGCAAGAGTTCTACTGGTATCGTATTTGTGCAGCTTGAAGTTTCTTCTGCAGTCTTTCCTGTTTCTCTCTTAATTTTGGCTGGCTCTTTTGAGTATTGCATCGAAAAAAGACGGATACTATATTAAATCCAATCCCAACCTCCATATCTGAGAATTATTTCCCTTCTTTTTTCCATACCTCCAGATATGTTTTCATTTGTTGACTAAACTTTTCATCTTACAAAAGTAATGTGTTAATTTTCTAGAATCCCGATCCTTGTCAGTCTCTTCAACCTCCTTTAATTTCAGTACAGCTTTTTTGTTTGGGTTTTAAACCCTCCAAATATCTTGCAAATTAAATGTCATTAAAATTCCTCCGATTCAACGATTCTTTCTGGTCGTTATTATCCCACCTTGTTTTTTCAATATCGGATTCATAAGACACTTAGAGTCCCCTTTAATGATTATCCCATTTTCATAAGCAATTTCGTCTTTTTTTCAGGACTGCAAGGAGTAAACGTTGAATATAATAGTTTTCGTCGCTAATTTGTGCTTGGACACCAACAATTTACCAGCGGGATCCACGTATTTTTGTTCTATTTTACAATCAAAGCCATTTCGTAATAGCATCGCGACACCTCTTACATTACTGCTCCCGTGAGCGAGCTCTAAAAGAGCGCCCCATTCAGCCTTTCATTGTTTCTCTTTATCGCGTGTGGAATGCTTATCTTAAAGAAAAATCATTTGTGCATTTTGTTTTCTACACCATGCAAATATTGAAAGTCGTTTCTTAAAGTTACTCAAACCTCTTACCTTCAAAGTTGACATTTTAACATTTTCACAAGAACCCATCTGAGGGGAGAGCAGTCTGTTGAAGGCTGCTGCCAATTGATATAACATATGTAATTAGGTTATATTAAGAAGGATCTGCAACGTACAAAAAACAGAAACGCATATATATAAAAACACAAAAATACTGGAATTTTGGTATGATAAATTGTCTAGAACATATTGACGGAATTTTTCTACTGAAGGAGTCTCGCATCTTTTCCTCCAACAGCCATGCAAGGTCCTTAACATAATATGCCTTTTATTTTCTCCAAATTGGTATTCCCTGACTCACTCATCGGATTTTGAGACAAACAATTAACACATTAAATTAGTAAAATAGTTAAAACAATTGAATATATTGGTAATTGTACTAATAAATGTATGAGTTAAAACTCCATGTCTTTTTCAGGGAGATCGATTGTCTTCCGGGCAATTGAAAGCTAATCGGCACTGCATATTACAGTTGTTAACGCGTAGTTTATTCCAAGTATTCTGCACTCTTTTGAAAATGTTGCTCGAAAAAAAATCTTAAAAAAAAAAAAAATCTTCAAAGGATTATTTTCTAAAGTTTTGATAAATTCCGAACTTGCATTCATGATGTGTAACAAAAAAAAAATCATGCTGATTTGTCTGTTTGGAGACTGACCAACCTGAAGGCAAACGTATCTTTATTGGGGCCAGACCTTGAAAATAATTATTGGAGTGACACAGCCAAAAAAATAAAGAAATGGCGCGTTAGCACTCTTTGCGTGTGATTGATTACGACTGGGACAAACAACGACTGTATTAACCATTTTAATACATGATTCTTATGTGCATGAACAATTGAACAAAACACTTCAGTCCTAGAATGTGTACTCGTTAATCTCATAGAGCATTATGCCTTGAAAGAGTGATATCTATGTCTACATACCTTCATTAATCATTATTTAACCAAAAATTCAGTTTGAAACCCTTGTCTTTATGCCTCACTAGATTTAATCATAATAACATGAATGTAGATTGATGCTAACTATTAAGATAAATATTTTTAAAATTAATATTAATAACGCAGACACTTTTATTTTAGAATATCCCATAGAATTTCTTATTTTAAACCAAATCTTCTTTTTCCGTAGTCAAGTTTATAGTTGTGTGAACTTCTCGGAATGGCATCCTGGACTGTAGTATTTGTGGTAAGTCTTCCTTGTATTTTATGATAAGACGTTGAAAAATTTATATTTGATCGAGATGCAGGTGAAGGCAAGGCTAGCCGATTTTCCCATTCGTGGGGTTGCAACTTCATTGCCTCAATAGGTAATGATTAGGAAGCTGGCTGCATCGTCGGCTTGCTGCGTTTTCGGCATGGACTGGCTGCATTACAGTGGGCTAACTGCCATATTTGGTTAGCTTATTTTTTTCTGTGTAAGTGTTTGATTGGTTGATTACCAGTCTGGTCAGCGGATTCCCTGACATTACGCGTAGCCATTTATAGCGTTTCTGGCTAGGTGCAAGGTTGGCTTGCGAGATAACTGAATTTTTAACAATAAGTTGGCCTACTCGTTTATTCTTTCCATGTATTTTATAAAGCTTGTTCTTCACTTTTTATTAAAGGTGGTGACCTTTGCTGTAGTTGATTTATCGACCGCAAAACCATATGGTATGTATCCACCTCGAGAAACAAAATACCATGGATTCAGTGTGATCTGGAGATAATAAACAGTTTATAATCTGTTGCCGTATCTTAGGGCTAAACCGTGCTTTAAAGAGTGTAGGTCATAAATAATTATTCAAAACCCGAATTGAAAAATACACTGAATAATGTATGGGCCAAATTAAGAGCCTTAAGGTGGTAAAACATAGTCTCAGTGTTTTAACACCATTTCTTTGACAAATCAGTTCAAACAGTATTTTAGCCCACTCCCTAGATAAATTGTCAAAATGCTTCATGACAGCCTGTTCGAAACACGTTGTTTTCTTCGTTTATCCCTTCAATTTCCTATTTATTTATTTGATTATATACTTTTTGTTTTACAATTTGCTTATGATATTCGACTATAAGCTGATTGTTAACAAATAAACCATAGCTGCCAAAGTGAATTAAACTGTTTTTTATTTTTATTTTTAGGCACACCTAATGAGCAACTGGACAATGAGAATCACAATGAATACCAAATGATGAGCGACCAAGGCCGACCTGATCAAAAACTTCGTGAATTCGAGAGGGACCAAGGCCAACTTTATCATGAGCTCTCTCAGTTAGAACTCCAGTTGGACTCGCTTACAAGACAACAAAATGGTAAACGTATATCCAGGCATACAGGAGTAAATTCATTATCATGAAACTTCTCCCCAGAAGACTCAATCCTATTAATTTCCAAAAGAATGATATGAGAGGATTTCCAGTACAGAACAGGTCTTTGGTTTAACTGCCCGCCTGAAGCGAGGTCCAAATCAAACTTCAATCTTGACATCCTATAATGCTGAAGATAGACTATCTTGGTTTCTAGATCATATTCAACCAGCATATTCGGCCTCGCAGGATGATCCCAAAGAAGAAGAACAACAACAAGATGAAGAGGAATTAGGAGATCCCGAAATGGAAAAAGAAGCAGACGCCTCAGAAATGGAAGAAGTAGCAAACTACATAGGATTGGAAGAAGCAGAAGATGAAGGATCTGGCGAAGAAGAGGAAATCGAAGAGAGTGAGTCCAATCTGACTTTAGTTTCAATTTTAATTTTGATTTACCAGCTATGATTTTATTTTAGCTTTTTTTCATCATGTTTGGCAAAATCTGGTCGCCCATCAGGAGGGTTGACTTTATTACCAGTTAAAAGCTATTTTACTAAGAGAGCACCTCTTTTCTCTTTTCATACCGATCAAATGATCTTATTAGCAATAAATAGTGTCGGATACAGCTGATTAAGAAGAGGAAAAAGATTTAGCTGTTAAAACGAAGTGTAAGCTAACAATACAATTGTACATCAACTTCCATCCATGATACCTCTTCAAACACTAAATCCCAGATTGAAAAGAAATGATTAGAGAATATCTTTTATTCTCGGTTCTTGATCATATCAATCTTCAACTTATCGACAACCTTGAAAAGGGTCATAAGATTTATCTATAATATCTCTAAATCATGTTTCACCTATTTCAACAGAATGCAAACGATTGAGGAAATTTATATGGATTGTTACGAAAAAAATCAGAGCCAAATGGGAAGGTAAGGAATAAGGTACAATAATTGTTGTCAATTTAAAACGCAGAAAGGTTCTTCAAAAGCTCTTTGAGAAGTAGTTGTTTCCATTTTCCCCCATCCAACTTTGTGACGCACTTTGCCAACATTAAGTAAATCCCAGATTGAAAAGCGACAGCAGATTAACTCTTATTCTCGGAACACAATCATACCAACCTTCGACTCGCCAAGTGTGAGACAACTTTGAGGACGATTGTAAGATTTATCTAAAAAATATCTATAAATCGTGTTTCACCTATTTCAACAGAAATCATCAGATTAAAGAATATCAGAAGGATTCTTGTGAGAAAAATCAGAAAACTTAAAGGTAAGGAATAAGGTACAATAATTGTTCTCAAAGGTTCTTCAAAGGCTCTTTGACAATAGCTGTTTGCATTTCCCTAACCCATCTTCGTAACGACCTCTGCTAACATAACGTAAATCCAAGATTGAAAAGCGATGACAGATTACCTCTCATTCTCGGAAAACAATCATAAGAACCCTTGGCTTGCTTGATGTGAGGGCCGTTCAGGAGAATATTGGCTTCAAGGTGGGGCCATTTGGTTTATATGAAGAAATATGAGGTCCGTTTAAAACTACAGTGGACTAATGTATTCTTTATCGATCTTACGGGACTCCCACGTAACTTTATCAGGACGGCTATGAAACTTTTTACCCATTACCCGCTATCTTTAATTACGGCTCAGCTGACCTGCAACTCCATTTGGTTTATATGAAGAAATATGAGGTCCGCATAAAACTACAGCGGACTAATGTATTCTTTATCGGTGAGCAAAGTTAAGGTTCGTGACTATATGCCAGTCCATAGTTATTTATGTAAAATTACTCCATACCTACCCACCAAGTTAGTGTTTACAAGCAGCTGATTAAAACTTCAACTTCTTAATTGAACAATGCATCCATCGTAATAAATCTCTCTTTCCGGCAATTTTCAACCTTAAAGATGATCGTTACAGGTCCTCCTTTGCTTCGTGGTATAGAGGGGAGAACGTTTCTTCGTGTCTGGCGTTGCCGTGTATTCCTCCCCCCAACCACACCACCACACCTCCCTCCTTCCCTCCCTTTTCATTTTTTTTGTGGGACTAAGTCCTGATCTTTAACTTCATCAGTAAGGTTCCAGAGATTTTTTAATAGATCAAAGTCTGAAAAATTACACTGTAATTCTTCATACCTTGAGGGCCACTCATTTTTGTCGACAATATTAGGTAAGTTTCTCTGGCACAATGTCTGAGTAGCTGTTACCTATCATGCTTTTCTCATACTTTTGTAACTAGTTGTTCTCTCAAGTGAGTTGGCCATGTTGCTTCATGCTATAAACTCTAGTTGGAATTTTAACTGCTGTTAACTTATTACAAAGCTTTGGTGGTGTGAGCCAATGCTACATCTTGTATAAATGTCATTCTCCTATTGGAGGTAAACAACTTTCATTTCATATGTTCAATCATCAAGTATAAAACAATTGTTTACATATTTTATATCTTTTCTCAACAGGCCGTCGAGGCTAAAAAAACCATGGGATTTTGAAACGCCCAGCATCAAGTTATTTTTTTTCTTTTTATCACCATTTTGAGCAATACACAATTTTCACTCCGAGCACAAGTAATGTAAAGCTGCGAGTTTAGCAGTCTTTAATAGTCTAGTATTGGGCTTTTTTAAACGTAATCGTTAGGCTTTTGACTCGTTTTTATCATTGTATACATGCAGTTGGAAAGCATTTAATGGTGGAAAGATCAAATAACTGCAACGCACACACCATAAAATTGCTATCGACCAGGAGATACTATGTTGCAGAAGATAGCCTGAAACCGCCATTTTTATAGTATAAGTTAATATGATGTTGGGTTTTATTCACGTAATCAATTTTGATATTAAAAACCGTTGTTACTCGATGTGTGAGGTGCTTTTATTTTAGTTTTTTCTTCGTTCAGAGATATCAGAATAATTGTGCATTCGAGGCTTGGATCGGTCAGTGTGTTTTTTTCCTTTTTTGCAAAGTTATCTTACGAGACTCCCACGTAACTTTATCAGGACGGCTATGAAACTTTTTACCCACTACCCGCTATCTTTAATTACGGCTCAGCTGACCTGCAACTCGTTATCAATTGTAGTGCCAACGCACGCATGGTAGCTCTTTCACCGGCTATACTGTTCATGTTAAAGCATGGGTCTTCGAAATCAGTGTTCCATCAGGACAAGTTTTGGCCATTGTAATTTTGTTGCGTTGGCCACTACGTCTGACTTGTGTTTAAAACTGTGTTTTAAGGCGCTCTTCAATTGGAGTGTGTCATTCAATGAGTTCTTTTGCCTTAGTTTTGTCGTTAATCATAGCAAAAACTCTATTTCTGTGTCAATAAGCATTGCGGTTACCCACAAAAGAAGGACACGTATCTAAGGACTGATACAATACTAAAATAGGTAATTAGAACAAAATGATTAGTAATAAACGAAATTCTATCATATAAAATGTTATACTGCATAAACATATCGCAACATGACGAATATCTACAAATTAAGGGTTGCACAGGACGCAAAAGCCAACGTGTAGCCGCACCCTTCCCCCCAAAGGTGAAACAAGCACGTAGCTAACAGCTCACTTACGTACTTTCTTATTTACTTACTGACTTACTTATTGGCTTACCTATTAACTCGATCTGGCATGTTCTGTGCAGAACTTTGAGGCACTGTTTGCAGATTTATTACGTAATCAAAATTGTGTTCATTGTCTTTCTTTCGAAGTAATCACGAGACCAGGGCACGAAAATAGACGGTTCATGGACGAGCGCAAAATCGTTCTAGAGATTCTCCTTCCAGTGCAGTTATAATGAATGGTTATGATCCCTGTATCTTATTTGCTCTTACTTATTTGGTTTTTTAAAGATGGCAATGTACTTTTTTTTTACTTTCTAAAACACTATCACATTCCAGTAGAATTTGAGTTATTTAGGAAAATGCTGTTACACGATGTAAAAAAAAATCGCTGGATTATTATTTTCAATAAAATCATCTTAACAAACGCAGCGTAGCAATTAATTTTTAGGATCAGAAGAAGCATCTGGCGAAAAAGAGGAAAAGAAAAAGAAAAAGAGTGAGTCCAATTTATTTTAAGTTTTATTTTAGTTTTGATTTTTACAGAAAAAAAGTTTTAATTTATCTTTCTTTCATCGTATTGTGCAAAATGTGGTCGTCCATTAGGAGGGTTGACTTCATTAACAGTTAAAAAGCCATTTTACGAAGACAGCACTCCTTTCTCTTTTCACACCGATCAAATGGTCATTTGTAGCAGTAAATAATAGCGGATACAGGTAATTTAGAAGAGAAGCAAAGATATAAATGTAACGCTAAACTAACACTACAACTATACATCAACATCCATCCATGATACCTCTCCTTACATTAAATCCCAGATTGAAAAGAAATGATCATATCAATCTTCAACTTATCGATAACCTTGAAAAAGGTGATAAGATTTTCCTATCATATATCTAAATCATGTTTGACCTATTTCAACAAATTCAGTAACATTTAAGCCGGAAAGGAAAATCATCAGAGAAAACACAGAATGTAAGGATTACGGTACAATAATTGTTTTCAACTCGTAACGTAGAAAGGTTCCTCAAAAGCTCTTCGATAATATCTGTTTCCATTTTCCCCATCCACCTTTGTAACGAACTCTGCCAACATTACGTAATTATATATATCCAGATTGAAAAGCGACGGCAGATTACCTCCTATTCTCGGAACACAATCATATCAACCTTCGACTTGCCTAGTGCGAGACAACTTTGAGGAGGGTTATAAGATTTACCTACAATATCCTAAATCATTTTTTTCTTATTTCAGGTGTGACAAAGATAATAAAAAAGTCAAAAGACTCAAAAAAAAGAAAGTGAAAAGGTACAATAATTGTTATTTGCTTAAAACGTGGCAAAGGCTATTCAAAAGCTCTTTGACAATAGTTGTTTCCATTTTCCCCCAATCCACCCTCATAACGACCCTTGCTAACAGATTGAAAAGCGACGACAGATTACCTCTCATTCAGGCCTCCTGGCATAGAGTGAATCAGCTCTCTTACGGTAGTGGGGAAAACGTTTCTTCGTGCCTGACGTTGCCATGTTTTCACGTACCTCTACCGGTAAATGTATAAGGACGGCTATGAAACTTTTTACCCACTATCCGTTATCTTCAATTACGGCTCAGCTGACCTGCAACTCGTTATCAGTTGTAGTGCCAAAGCACGCATGGTAGCTCTTTCACCGGCTAAACTATAAATGTAAAGCATTTTTGCGTTTCCCACTGCATCTGACCCGTGCGCAAACTGTGTTTTAAGTCGCTCTTCAGTTGGAGTGTGTAATTCAATGAGTTCTCTTGCCTTCATTTTGTTGTTAATCATGACAACAACTGTATTTCTGTGTCAATAGCGGTTACCCACCAAATAAGGACACCTATCTAAGGACTGATACAAAACTAAAATAGGTGATTAGAATAAAACGATCCGAAA